ACTTGCGTGTGGCTCCAACGATGATGTGCAGCTGTCCATAGAACCTCTCAATCTCACTCAGAATCTCAGGTGTCCCGGAAAAGATGCTGCCACACTCACTCTTCAGATTTGACCTGTTCAGTTGCCTGTATGCTGTTAAATCTGTTGACGATTGTAGCCTCATTTCCCGTCTAATAGCCATGAGATTAAGAGTGTGATTGGAGAGGTTTTGTGTTCTTCTGCGGCGGGTCTTGCAGAACTTAGCTCCGACCGCATGGACAGTTTACACGAGCTTGTCATTCACTTCACCCGAAATCTTTCAGCTCGAGTTACGAAACACTGAAAGCGGTTTCGTAACTCGAGCTGAAAGATTTCGGGATTCTGGATTAGAGCACGAGGGGGACGGAGCGTTCATTCAGTAGACGAGACCTCTCCAACTTAACGTTTAGGTTCAGTGTGCCTCTGACCATTCGGTGATTGCTGCCAGTTTTCACCCTTGCGATCACTGAGACATCACTGAACAGTGTGCGTCTGGTCGTCATAATGGAGTCAATCTCATTTTTTTTCGAACCGTCGGGGCTCGACCAGGTCCACTTCCTGTGGGGCCGCTTCTGGAAGAAAGAGTTCATCATAAAGAGTCCCTCTTTCTCCTTAAAGTCGGCTAGCTGCTAGCCCCTACGGTTCCGTTGCCCTACTCCAAATTTCCCTAACTTCAGCTCACCGCATTCTCTTGTGCCTAGTTTTGCGTTGAAGTCTCCCATCAACACCGTGTAGTGGGTTTTGGAGGAATGCATGGCTCTGGAAATATCCTCATACATTTCCTCCACCTCCTCATCGGGATGTGCCGAGGTTGGTGCGTAAACCTGTATGACCTTCAGCGAATACCGTTTGGTGATGCTGAGTATCAGGTCCGCGACCCTCGTCGACACACTCCCAATCTTTACAACGTTGTTGACGTGAGACTTGTGGACGATAAATCCGACACCTCCTTGGGACAGATGGTCGCCCTCCCGGTAATAGAACAAGTTGCCGGACTCGAGAAATACCGTGTCCTCCCCCTCTCTTTGGATCTCGAATAATCCAATAATATGCCAGCGCAACTTGTCTACCTCTTCTTCCAACTCCAGTATCTTCTCGTCAGTCCTCAGGGTGCGTGCGTTATATGTTGCCAGGTCGAGTCGTCGTAGGTGGCAACCTAACCTCCACCGGAGATTCTTAGCACCTCCTGCCCCGCCGTTACCATGGTCGCCACCGTAGCCAGAAATAGCGGGGCCGCCGGGGACTGGGGGCCGTTTGTTTGCGTCTTTATTCATGGGGGGGATATTTGTTTTAGTTGCCACGCTTGGCGAGCGGGTTGGCAACCGTTTTTTATTATATTATTGTTGTTATTAGGAAGATGCTGCTGCCCATCTCCTGCCTGTCTCCCTGTGTCGCCTCTTACGACACCCACGGGAAGATATTCTCAACCGCCACTACACGATAACTAATACAAGTTAGTTTGAAACTAATACAAGTTAATAATACTAACAAATGTTACTTTTTGATGCTTGTAATTTATACAATCCAAGTTTTTGGAACATTAAAAAAAACATTTACATAGTTTCAACAAAACAGTTTTGTTTCATTTTAATAATATAATCTGTGGCAAAAGGAATGAGAACAACGAAAATACATTTTAATTCTTAATATGTAGTTTTGACTATATGCTTTATCTTTTATTTCCTCACACTAAGCATTGTAAAATGCCCTTAAGTAAATACTCACCTTCCGCACTTACATCTAAAATAACTTATTTGATTAGCTTTTTGCGTCTCGGTGTGTTATTTACTGTCATTTTTCGTTTCGTTTCTTTTATGCTTATTGCATCAAGGATATATTTTGGTTCTCGTATTTCCATTCGTCTGTCTAACCGGGAAGCAATTATTTCTTGTAATAAACAATTAAAATAAAAAAAAATTCAATTTATTCTTCATTTCACGCCAAAACTCTATATCTTCCTCTATGAATTCAATTTTTATATCTACTTCAGTCCAAACAGCAAATATGCAAATTTTTCTACATGTGACGTGCAGTTGGCTATGTACCTGAAAGTACCAATCACGTATTTTATTTATAGAAATATCACCATTCTTATACCGTCTTGTTCCATCGTCAACGCTCATTCCTTTAGCTGAGTAGGGACATTTTATTTCAACAATTTTGTTTTCGTCCACAATACCATCTGGATAAGCTCTTAAAAATGGCAAATCTGGGTTAATAAATAATCCGCATGTTTTTATGGAAGTTTTAAGATGTTTTTCCAGTTGTTCGCGTGCAATATTTTTATAATTTTTACCATGTTTAATTGATTTGACATGATCTCAATTTTTTTCCATCAGAAATTTTTTTTACCAGAGGTCCACATTTTAACATCCCGTTTGCACACCTTTCCAAAAATGGATGCCGTGAGCCACAACTTCCGCTCTTGGCGCAATTCCATTGAATCAGCCTGTAAAATTGTTCTTCTTTCTAGCAAGTGGTGATCTTCATCAGATAAAGTTATATTTTTCATATGTTCCATTTTGGAAAAATCAAAATCAGCTTCACTTATATCAGGTTTTTCACAAGATTCGCCATAATTTTTGTCTTTACGATCATTAGTCAGTTTTTTTGTCGCAAAGACTTATATACTTGACGCTTTGCCGATCTCAGTCTTTTGATATTTTTTGTCATTTCCAGACTTTTTATTAATTTATTTGGGCTCCGGAGCATAATTTTTTTTACTCAGGTATGAAACTGGCTTTTTTGAATTAAAAGAAACTACTGATGCAGCACATCGACCACTATACGACTGCCTCGCTGTAGTGATTGCTCGAGTAGTTAATTCTCTTTGCGCCAATAAACTTGGCTATTACGTTATTAAATATTTCAGCGATATTGCTATTTATATTGTGCATAAGGCTTGTGGCATTGTTCATCAATCTCGAAAAGATTTTAATATGGCTATAAATATAAAACCACCTTCATTGCTTTTCATGGCTGGCACTAAATTTTCTTCTATTGATGAGTCAGTTAAACTTTTGCAATAGTATGGTTTACAAGAGCTATGATTGCCAAAAATGTGGTGTGGCCCGTTTAACAGAAGAGAACTTTTTCAGCAAAAGTTATATTTTCTTGAGCTTCAATGTGTTTTACGGCAGCAGTAACTGAACGTCTTAATCGTAGTAAATTATTTTGGATAGCTTTTCGATACTTTAATGGGTAGATTGTATTTTTGGTCAGCTCATCAAGTTTTCCGCAATCATTTCTTAATAAATGATTTGTAAATTCAATCTTTTCGACCAGAAGATTACCATATGGTTTTCCTTTTTTTAATATTTTTGTGTGTCCAGTACATCATAATCTGCTATCAATCTAGAATATATGAGACCGCGAGTTTCCATTGATAATTTGAAACCTTAAACTAAAGCTGTTGATTCCATAGGACTTGAGGAACCTGTATAATTTTTAAAGCATATGTGTTCTGGTTCTTGAATTTTGATTTTCAGCTCTAGTACAAACCATACAATATTTGTTTTTGACCACCATGTAGAGAAGTTATTTGTCCTGTATCCTATAATAACTGCCGCACCTGCTAAAGCATTGTAGTTTTTCCTATATGATCGTTTGGACAAACAACCATCGGCAACCACAGTTAACAGCGGAACGTCATTCAAATCTATTTCTCCATTGAGAACAGCTAGATCGTATTCTTCCTTTGCAGCTTCGCTCATGCATTTTTCTTTAGCAAGGTCCCATAGTTGACATACTTTATTATGACATTTTCTGTATAGCTTGTCTGACTTACGATTATGAGAAGCAGATTTGTTCTAAATCAGAAAAACGTGTTCCTATTGACATAAAACTAGCCACAGCATCATCATTAATGTTGACATCAACAGGGTTATCAGGTTTTTTACAGTTTACTGATTCTAATTTTTTTTCCACACATTCGACAAACGAAGTAGAATTTCGATAGAAACCCTTTCCTGACCTCTTTAGTGAGTCTTAAAAAAACTGAAGTTACAACCTAGAGCAGAGTTGTGATTTGAAATTTCACGTATTTGGCCCAAAGGCTATTAAAAATCTGCCATTATGTTTCCTTCTACTTTGATATAATCTTCACGTTCAGTTTCATTTCCTAATAAGTCCAGAATCTGAATATTCCATGTTGGGTTTTCATTTTCTACTATAAGTTCTGAATGTACCAAAGATCCCGAGAATTATTAAAAATAAACGTCAGTATTATTTAAAAATTTCAAACTAAACGGCGTGTCTATGGTTTACACTATTGGCGATATAACATGGTGTAGATGAAATTATTAAACCATATAAAACCTTTATAACCACTTTAAAATTGATATATAAACTGACATGAGAAACGTGTAGAATTGTGACCGTGTTTGGTCTCAAATGAGAGGTCTCGATATGGTCTAGGAGTTTATAGACATTAGTTTACTAGTTATAAACAAAAAACAAAATGACGTGAGAAACTTGTAAAACTTGTCGAGCTTTTAATTTACTTTTTATAAATAAATTATTGACGAACAAACAACTATTGATAGAGAACCATCAAGAACAAACCACGAACTAATTATATGTGATAATGACAACGAATAAGAAAATAAAAAAATTCGGGGGGCCAACTTTAGCGATCCGATAGCGATTTAGTTTATTTAGTTTTTACTCTACTGTTAGCCCGCCCCCGATAGCCAGTGTTGCTCTATTAATATAAACGATGTGTTATTACTTGACCCCGGCAAAAATACAGTAGTACGAGTCCATTACTAAGAAAAAAAAAACTGTCATTAATGATAATGTTTGTCTTTTGCTCACTCATTAAAAAAATAACACAGAACACTATTATTCCTATCGGAGAAAAAAAAAACAACAAATCGATTTACCTAGTAAACAATATTATTTTTAAGATATTAATTCTCTGAATTAACTGTTTGAATATGTATCATATTAATTTAACATTTAGAGGTGTATGTAATATTCATATGAAGCGTAAGTGTGATCTTCATTCTTAATAACTTTCTAAATTAACTGTTTGGTTATGTCTTTTTCACATTATGATTTTTGTAAATTGTATGTAATATTTATTTAAAGTGTGACTGAGAAAGAGTAATATCATTGTTAAATATTTTATAATTTCTTACTTGTACAATTCCAGATCTTTCTAGATCAATTTGTTGCACTACAACAGTAAGTACTAAAGAATGGCGCGTTTCGCGCGGACTTCCTATTAATAAAAATGCTGAAGGGATACTTACAGACGGACCTGACTATACATTTTTAGATGGCAGACCAACTCCATTACTGGTAATCAATTGATAATGAAATTGTTTAGCTACTACCATTTTCCTTATTTATATTTTGAGAATTTTTGCTCTGGAATATTGACCTGTATTGTTGTTCTGTTCACGACTTGATAGGATTACACTAGTTTGTGTGCGTGCACAAGGTATACCTCATTTCCTTACCTTAATAGGCAATGAGACAGGACGACAGAATTTAGGTGCAGGACCAAAGGCCTTACTTGTGCTCTGAGGTATGGGGATGAGACAGTGCCAACTCTTGAGGAAAGGGTTTTATTAACGTGGTAGAGCCATGTTGCAGCTATATAAATGTGATAGAGACATGCTGCAGCTGTATAAACGCTACCATGTTTAAATGGATTGGCTAGACTGGGGAAGGACCATGCTTACACAGAATACCATCAAAAAAGTAGCAGCTTAATGCTGCTGTTTTGTATGGTGAGTGTAGAGAACCGAAGACTTTTTATTTGGAAATGAGGCATTTCATCTTAGTCTTCATGGGTGACAACACATCTGCATTTTGTCTATGGGCCACAACTACCACTTACCATAAAGTTTCAAAAAAAAAAATACCTTACTATTGTTATGGGACCAGACCCAGGGAGGTATTAGAGGGATGTGGGGATCTCGACCACAGCCCCCTTTTGGAAATATGTAGTTATTTTAATAACTGTTTGAAATTTCAAAATTAGTGCTTTATTGTGAATTGTGCAATATTTTGGGGAAGGTTAATAGACGGGCAAATCTACAGCCAAAATCACTTTTACTAGCCAAACCCTATTTTAGCACAAATTAGTTTTTCTAGGCTAAACTAGTTTTTCTGAAACCTGCCAAAATGAACCACGTGTTTGTGGCTTTTTCCAACTTTCAACAACTTCTTTTTCTGTTTCTGTTTCAAGTTGTGACGTGTAGCCCCCAAGACAAAGATATTTATTAGAGTTAACTTTATAGTAAAGAGTAGTCTTATTAAAGTCCTGTCTCTTTCATTGACACCTTTCTTACATTACAAACTTGATTATATAATGTTTATATAAAGTATCAAATGTGTGCAAATGTGTAAAAAAATATCAGCCAGATGTTGGCTTATGAGTCCTTTCCACCGATTAGTGCATATTGTGTTGCCTTTGTGTATCTTTTATGCACATTAAGTAATAAACAAGTAACAATGATAAAAATGCAGATATGTGCTATTAAACTGTGCCGGAATTATAAAGGAAAGGTAAAAACCGCCAAACACTACCTATCATGGGTAAATAACCAAAAAACTCTGTCAGTGTTGCCAGTTTCTTTGTTTCATTCTCCCAACTTAATGTTATATTATTTGTAGGTATATTAGTTGGTTTATGGTTATGTATATATTAATATGTTGGTGATAAAAAAAACAATTTAATATTGAGCAATTGGCAAATTAGAAACATATACATGGTAGAGTTCTATTTTTAAATTTCGAGCATCTTAAAACTTATTAAGTGACTTATGTAACTACTTAATAAAAAACAATACTAAAACTGAATACATACATACACCTAAAACTTCCTTATTTAATTAGTCAATTTTTTAAACATGTATTTTATGAGAGAAATGTAGTAGCTGGTATTATCGTTTACGCACAAAGAGACATACATGCACAGTGTACAAAATACTGGCCGCAAGTTGCCGCATGCTTGAAACTATTGGCTCATTTTCTTTGTTATGATTGTAGGGTGACGCTCCATCTAGACATTATATAATCAAAGATTACAAAGTAAATGTCTCTGATCTAGTCATAACAGTTCATGAAAAACTAATTCAGCCAAGAAAAAACTAGTATGTCCTAAAACCGATAAGACAATTAATGTTTGTGAAATATTAGTTTACTTTTGCCTAATCTTAGGCAAGAATAGTTTTCACTGTTTTTGGCGGTCAATTTCAAATTTGTGGTTGGTCAAACATAATTACTATTTCATAACATTATTTACTATTTATTTTAACAACAAAACCAATTACCTACTTAATAGTAAAAAGAGCTGAATTTTCATTTTACTGGCATTCATCTTAGTCCATTATTCGGAATCTTCCCAACGCTGGAAGTGGCTCATGGTCCAGGTGTGAAGTTTTATGAATGATATAAAACTATTTTTTGCAGTTTTAAAATTTTAAAAAATGTCAATAATCATTTTTTTCCTGTGGTAATCAAAATATGATATTTTGTTGGTTAGTGTCTTTAAATGTGATGGTGTGAAGTTTTATGAATGATATAAAACTATTTTTTGCAGTTTTAAAATTTTAAAAAATGTCAATAATCATTTTTTTCCTGTGGTAATCATAACATGATGTTTTGTTTGTTAGTGTCTTTAAATGTGATGATTTCCCTATATGAAAGCTGAAGATTTTGATTCTTCTGTAACTTTGTGCAAAAAAAAATTCAATATCATATTTTTCATTAGCATTTATTATTTGTTTTGTATTTCAGCAAAAACAAAAGTTAAGGATGTTAAAACAGCGAGACTTTGCATCAAAAATTGTTGAACTTAATTCAGAATTGGAATTTGCGAAGACGAGACATCAGAAAATGTTACAAGCTAAAGAAGAGGAGAGGGAAGAAATCTTAAGGAACAGATTAAAACCGAAAGGAAAGGCCTTGTTAAATAAAAAGTAGATTATATGATTTATTATTCTTGTTAGATGTTATTAAATTGTTAGATAAATCTCATTTGTGTTATGTTTTATTTTGAAATGAAAATCTCAGCCTGATCTAATGTTGCCCATATTGCACGACTTTTTCTGCCACGAGAGCGACGCCACAGGAATGAGGTGCAATTTTAGACATATTTCATGGTGGGGAAATTAATTTTTTAAGAAAAAGTTACAGCTAATGTTTCTAAATAATAGATCAATTTTAACTTAATTTGATAAGAAATAAATAAACCAAACTACCACTGAACTTCGTAAAATAGTAAAAGGACAATTAATATGTAATAGTGGAGACGAACTGTCCACTATTAACAGACTCCGAGTGGTTTTCTTTAAGGTGGAGAAATGAAACTACTGTTTATGTTTATGTATGTACTGTCGAATGGGATTCGGAATGAAACCCACTGTGGCCGGTGAGGAAAAGGGGAGATCTCCCGCCGGGCAAGGTGTTCTGCCCGGGGAGCGGCCAACACTCCGTGTGATAGTTCGGAGATGTTCTATATATGTTGTTTATGTTTCGGAATGTTGATAGCGTGATTTAGGCTTCGGTGTGTTTTCGCTTGTGGCGGCGACGACAGCGCCGCTATATCACCCCCTGCTCAGACCGGAGGTCGTTAGTGCAGCCTTGTTGCCGACGAATGTGCAAGTGCCAGTGGATTGCCTTGTAGTCTGCGGTGAGTCGAGAAGAAGGCAAGTAATCTGCGAGAGTGCCGTGAAGCAGAGGCAAGCAGTAAGGCTCAGAGCCGTGCCGAACACTGTATGACGCAGAGAGTAGCTTGAAGGAACAGGAAGCATTATTATTCCAGTGCTGCGATGAACCTTGTGAAGCTAGATGGCTTGCAGGATATGAAGACTGCAGACAATATCTGCTCGGGAGCGAATGGGTATTCTATGACGATGATGAAGCTTGAAGTTTCCGAAGGTTGTTGGTTGCGTGTTTTAGATCACGTCGGGGTCACCACTGTGGCCGGTGAGGAAAAGGGGAGATCTCCCGCCGGGCAAGGTGTTCTGCCCGGGGAGCGGCCAACACTCCATGTGATAGTTCGGAGATGTTCTATATATGTTGTTTATGTTTCGGAATGTTGATAGCGTGATTTAGGCTTCGGTGTGTTTTCGCTTGTGGCGGCGACGACAGCGCCGCTATAAATATAAATATCGAAACCACCTTGAAATAAGTGAATTTTGGTTTGATGTATCACATTCTTTTTTCATTAAAGGCACATCCCTTTATCTAGTAGAATTGTAGCCGATTTACACTTCGACAAGTACAATAGCGAGTTTAGTTACAGGGTAGTTGACAGTAAACAGTTAAGTGGACAGTAGCGTTCAAATATCTTCGTGGCGAGTTTAATTAAAAGAAGTACAATTTTGTATTTTGACGGAACTGAACCAAACTTGCTCGTTCAGTCATTCAAACAAGCGGCGAGTTTAGTTGCAGGTGGCGAGAGACGCCTTCGCACTTAACTCGCCCAAAAATAGACCGGCCCAGCTATCCTGTTCAACTTTGTTAACTTGCTACTTAACTCGCTAATTGCCGTTCAAACGACATTTTCTACATAAGAATAAATATTACATAAGATTGAATAATAGCAACAACAGATTCTAAAATTAAAAGTAAAATTTGTAAATAATTAAAAAATATATATATCCATTAATATATATATATATTAAATCTAATTGATAAATAAACCCCAGCAAACTCGCCAGGTTTGCAAGTTAACTCGTTACTGTACCTACTTGTCGAAGTGTAAATCGGTCTTTATATTTGGGATCAAATAGGTAGTATAACTTAATTATGTAGATGCTTTGTATAGCCTTTTTTTGAGGAACTCCATCTGTCGTAGCTTAAGAAATTTACCTCTATTTCTGAATGTAGTACGTTGGTGGAAGATGTTATCTCTATTGTCGAATTTCGAGGTCTCCAATAGATGACGTATGGAGTAATGACCTTTTAAATACGATTCATTAAAGTAGACGAACAGAAAAATAAAAACCGGCCAAGAGCGTGTCGGGCCACGCTCAGTGTAGGGTTCCGTAGTTTCCCGTCCGTCACAATAAGTGTTCCCACTTATGAGTTTAAAGGTGGGTATCCATTAGGTTCGCGCTCCAGCAGCGCTCCGCGCTCCTGCAACTGCTGCCGGTAGTGGGTACTGTTGTTTCCATCCAAGTTCAAAATGATTTTCCTAGAAAGTCCTTATAAAGTTCTACTTTTCAGATTTTTTCATATTTTTTAAACTTATGGTTCAAAAGTTAGAGGGGGGGGGGGGACACATTGTTTTTTACTTTTGGAGCGATTATTTCCGAAATTATTGACATTATCAATAAATGATTTTAGTAAACCCCTATTCATTTTTAAATACCTTTCCAACAATATATCACACGTAAGGGTTGAAATTAAAAAAAAATCACTTCCCACTTTACATATAGGGGGGCTACCTCAATAAAACATTTTTTTCCAATTTTTATTTTACCACTTTGTCGGCGTGATTGATACACATATTGGTACCAAATTTCAGCTTTCTAGTGCTAACGGTCACAGAGGTTAAGCGAGGACGGACAGACGGACAGACAGACATGGCGAAACTATAAGGGTTCCTAGTTGACTACGGAACCCTAAAAAGATGGAGCGCTGCCGCTGCATATATTTCAAGTGATGAGAAAACCAGGACAAAAACGAGAGTTTTTTTTATAAATTAAGGGTAACAAACGAGCACACAGTTCACCTGATGGTAATTTGATACTGTGGCTCATACACATCTGCATCTATCCTCGTTTTAGAATGAAAATGCGGATGCGTCTTCACTTCTGAGAACTAAGATGGAATGCCTTGTTTCCAGTAAAGATGGTCTCTATTTCTTTACACTACTGTATAGTACCTACTGGGTGATTTTTTTTCCGCCTGGAAAAAAAAGGATGTAACAGGTGAACGGAAAGAAAGCCTAGGGCAGTGATATTTTACAATAATTTTTTTTTTATAAAATTGATCTATCAATAAATACTGCTAATTTGGAATAATCATTTGGTACTAAAAATAACAACATAATTTTTGATTTGATTTAATTTCGATAGTTTTTAAATAAATCAATTAAAAACTAACGAAATTAAAATAAACCCAATTAGTTGTATTTATTCATAGATCAATTTCATATGTTAATGTAAATTAAAAAATTTAATATATCAGTGCCATAGGCTTCTAGTCCGTTCATCTGTTACACTCTATTTTTTCCAGACGGTGAAGGAAATTATCCTTAAACATTTTACGTTAATTATTGAAAAGGACTTACAATTTAACAGGTAAAAAGAGAGAGAGAGAGAGAGAGAGAGAGAGAGAGAGAGAGAGAGAGAGAGAGAGAGAGAGAGAGAGAGTATTGGCATAGACTAATATATAATAATACTGGATCGGTATATTACAAATACCATACCAAATAGACTAATATAATAATCATGAAGCTGCTAATAATAAAGCGAATAATACGCAGGTATTCCTTGAGAGCGTGGTCCTTTCCCGATATAGCCGAACCAATTTTTTTTTTATTAGAATGCGGGTAATAAACGGACAAACAGTCTAACAGATGGTAAGTGCTCTGGCCCATAGACATCCTCGATTAAGAATCAAAGTGCAGACGCGTTATCACCACAGAGAACCTTTGAGCATAGAAAATCTATACTCAAAACAACATTTATACAAAAATACTATTTTACGCTGGAATTCTGCGAGAGCGTGGTCCTACCCCGGTCGAGACGACCCATTCGTGTTACAACTATACTACTTATATAACTGCAGCATGGCTCTAACACGTATAAAATACGACACGAATCACATATACGGACATCGAAAAGATTGTAGGCATTAGTTCGGGGAGCATTCTTACTATCCAACATCAATCATCAATCAAATCTTGGATGATGATGGTATTTCACACTGGTATTCTGCTAAAGCTTGGTTCTTCTCGGGTTGAGCCGAACCCTTTGTGCTACAACCATAAGGTAGCTGCAGCATAGCTCTACCAGCTACATGCACCTAAAATTATTAGTGGAGGAAGTAGGTGTAGTAATGTGGGTGTGCGTCCAGTAGTAAAATCCTACGAGCTGATAGAGAAAGAAAGAAGAAAAATGTATGTCTGTGGATGAGAGTCAAGAAGTTAAGCATGGTCTTTGCTACACTTGAAATGAACGCAACGCTCGTCTATCGTTCTATTTTGGTCTGAGTATGCAACGAAAGGATTAAGTTACCACCAGGAACTTTGGAATGAAAACGGCAGTTGGTTGTACTTGTTGGTAGATAGGTATTGCTGTTTTACTGTGTACAACTCGCCGCGCCATGAAAGTCTAGCGGTGACCGTTTTTGCGCATTGTTGGCCGTATTGCGTATAATTGGCTGTGGGTATCGTTCGCATTCCGTCCCCCGGTTTCCCTCCACGTTTCGTTCGGCGCTATATATACAAATATTTTTGTATGTACTAAATCATAGCGTACAGAAAGTTTAAAGCCTCGAATTTAGAATGTGAAATTATTTTATTGTTTTTTTTATCCCATTTCAAAAAAGAAGCACGTTAGTAATTCAACTGTTTTTTGTTTGTTACTCCATTTCTTCGTCAATATAAACCGATTTTGATAATTATTTTTTATTAAATAGTTTATATTAAAAGTATTTTATTAATTCTATAAATTCGAATTAAATTAAAATAAGATAATTGTTTCACCATTTTGGGCAGATTAAATATAATATAAATTTTTATTTCCATTATTACGAGGGGTGTAATTATTTCTCCAATTGTATATAGGACTACCCCTGAAATATTTTAAAACACCTATTTAATTTAAAAAAAAAAAACAAAAACACACAGAGACGAAGCGAAATGATAATGCCACGGTGTCCATTTACCACCACTTAGATTGTGTTATTAAATTGCTTACATCTTAGAATAATCGGTTTTATATGAATAATCAAAGGCTTTTGAAGTT